CATATGTGAGCATAGATGCGTAATAATCGAGAAAACTTCATTTATAATTTGTTACTTAATTATAACCATTCTGAAGCTTGGAATGAAGTTGCTAGTTATTTTAGGTGGGTAGGAATAATTAATAATATTTATTTTGGTTACTAAATCCAAAATCCAAAAGAGCTTAACCTCTGAATATCAAGCGTTTTACCGAGAACAAAATTAGATGTCAAAAACAAATTTCTCAAAATATTCTTTAATTTTCATACTTGCTTAAGCCTCATATGATATTGTGCTTTCCCTTCTATCATAAATGCAGTATTTAGTGAAAGCTTAGATACAACATTTGGAAGAATGTATATTTATAAAGTGCACCTGATTCTCCAACTTCTCCAACGTTTCCTTGTGGGCCTGGGATGCCTTTAGGTGCAGGTTCACCGGGCTCGCCTTGATAGCCCTTAGGACCAATGCTGCCTTTGCTTCCGGGTGGCCCAGCTGGACCAGGGTCGCCTTATAAAAAACGTTGAATATACATGTTTTTAACGAAGCGGATATCGCGTATATATATAAATAAATGGAATAAATATGAATTATAAAAAAAGCTGCTTGCACTAAGGAAGCCCATTGCTTAAGACAAGTATAAAATTTGAACCATAAAAAAATATTTAGCAAATAGGTACACTAAACAAAGTAAGGAAGCTCTAATATGGTAAATTCCAACTTATTGCATTAAATGATAGTTTAAAATAGCACAAGATAGTATAATAGCTTAACCAAGGCCTAAGGTAAATTTATGAAGGGAATCTGATTATTGGGCAATATTATGTTAAATTGTACAATGCAATAAAGTACAATGTTGTATAGTATTAAATCATATTTTGATTAATCATACAATAATTTATATTAATGGCAAAATTGTCTTACACTTTTAAAAGGACATGTAAAAAAATGGGTATTGGCAAATGTATGGAAAAATGATGATGAAATTTAAGTAAACTACCATAATCTAAACTATTTACTCTGCAAAGTTGAGGCTGCATGTCTACCTACCTGATTTTCCCGGCTTTCCCATAAGGCCATCTATGCCCTTGTGGCCTTTTTCTCCTTTAATTCCTGGCAGACCGCGTTCCCCCTTTTCACCACGAATTCCAGATCCTGGCTTTCCTGGAAGTCCGGCTTCACCTTTTCTACCTAATATGCAAATAAGGGGTAAGTTATACATTTAAATTAATGTTGATTTCTAATTTAATTAATAGGCAATTTTCCGCCTCGAATATTATTTTAGCGCAAACTTAATGATCGTATTAAGTGTTTTCTGCGCTGAGAAATAACTTAAAAACCCATACATTGTTTATATGTGGGATCAATGGCTTACCTTTCATGCCCCGGTCACCAGGAGGACCGATCTCACCCTTCAGACCAGCTGCACCATCTTCTCCAGGCTCACCAATGAGGCCTTCATCTCCTTTTGGGCCGGGAATACCTGTATATATGCACACAATTATAATTATGTATATTGATACGAATAACCTTTCTGTATAATAAATAAATATATCCTCCAAAATATATAGAAATAATATCAAAACATAGTGAAGTGGATCAAAATTTTGCTTGACAATCTATTTTTTATAAAGTGAGCATAAGGTAATAAAAAGACCTGATTAGTTATCAATAAAGTTGTGTATCGACTCATGCTCAAGTGCCTATTTTCAACAAAAAACCTTGATATTTCAGGTGAGCAATAGAGACATAGACCAAAGTTTGTACTAATTACGGCAAGATTAAATTCGTGCACTCGATTGTAATTGCTTTCCCCTATTTATCAATTATCTTAGTCCACATTAGGTTGTTCTCAAGATTTTGAGGTCGTTTACTCCTTTTATAAAAAGATAAATCGCTCACTACACAAAGAGGCTTTTTTCTTAATCTACAAAATTTAAACAAAGAAGCAAAAAAGGCAAAAAGCATAGATAAAAGAGAAAAATGGCGTCGTAGCAATCGCTAGCTTCGGCCTTAAAAACTGTACCATGAAAAACAACAAGAATATGTATATTTGGGGGCTGCTCATTTAGAAACATTTTTGACAAATATATATAGTGATGCTTATTTCATCTTTATGTTATGCAAAGAAACGTAAATACTATGCATCAGCCGTTAAGAAATCACCTACCTATGTCCCCCTGGTCTCCTTTTGGACCTATTCGTCCTGGTAAACCTCGTTCTCCTTTGGCACCCGGCATTCCAGGGTCCCCAGCCTCTCCTGAATCACCCTTTTCGCCAGAGTCTCCAGGGCTTCCCTTTTCGCCAGGTAGGCCAGGATCACCAAAGTCACCTTTTTCCACTGTAAGTGAAACGATGAAAGTAAATTTAAAAAATGGTTATATAAGTTTCATCTTATATTGAACAGCAAAACGGAAAATTTTAATAAGCGTTTTTGGGCTTGTTTTTCTATGTTTTTTTTGGTAAAATCACAACACATGTAAGCTCGTTTAATTAATTAATTAACTAAGTTAATAAAGGTATATCTTATTTAAAACTGATAGATTTTGACATACTTAGGAAAACTTACAATTTAGTTTTAAAAAAGTGTTAGATATCCAGAGCATGAATTAGTAATAAAACATGAATGGAACCAGATTGAATTTCAACAGATGTAAGAGAACTAGAAAGTATATGTTATGGTCTAAGTTTATTTTTATTAATACCTGATCTGGTATTTAAGCCTATAAATATGAATATAAATATAACCTTTACTATTTGATGGGCATTCCAATTAAATGTCTTTTTCAGCCATTCTAATCTATAATAGTCTCAAGGCGTCCGTAATGAATGGGTCAGGCTTTTGCATAAATTTGATATGTTTCTATTAATACTCCTTCTTTATCCTTATTTATCATCCGTTTTAATATTATGGCTATGACTTGGCAAAAGAATCGAACTTGATAATTATTTTCTAAAATATCTTATCGGTTAGCATTAGAAATATCAATCATTTTTACGTAGATTTTATGTATATATTATTTTCATTCTTCGGACTTACTTCGACTTGGTTCCTCAATTGGCCGACTGACCAGACATTCTCCGCTTTCGCCCTTTCCACCAGGATCGCCGATTTCTCCAAATCTTCCTGTCTGTCCTTTGGCACCCTTCAAACCAATGGAAGGCACTGCCGGCAAGCCTTTTACGCCCTTATCTCCAGGCCCTCCGTGGGGACCAGTCAAACCTGTTCGACCCTTGATACCTTTCGGTCCCTAGTAGAGAAGGGAAAGTTAGTCTATGACGCAAAATCAAATTTTAACTGATATAGCTAAATAATCTTATTTAGTCATATTATAAATATGCAGGTGTGATTAGTTACTAAAGATTGAGTTTTATTCAACACAATGGAGTGTCTGCTTCTCTTGCCTTTAAATCACCTTAAGCGACCTTGGGTGACAAAAAACATTAGTTAAGGTATATTTCAATTTAACGTGTCTCACTTTATGTATAACGGATATAAAGCAATAGATTTAGAAGTCGTTATCTAGTAAGATGATTTGTCCAATCATAATATTTCTAGACGAAAGAAAATAAAGAATGAGGCTTAATTTCTGGACTCTTCAAAAGCCCAGTTTTGGTCTTTAGGATGTTTTGGCATCAAAAACCTATTTATATGCATGCAGCAGCGAATATTGACGGGAAAGGGTAGAGGAAAAGCTGGTTATTGATTACTGCTAAGTGGTTTCTGATGGCACTTTTTGTGCATTTCCGGTACATAGCTATACATTTGTTAAACCGGAATAGCTGAGAAATAAGCTACATGCGATTTCTCACATCTTTTCAAATCCGATTAGAATTGGTATGTTTTACTGTCTGTAAATATGGGAATATTACCTGTGTCCTGGACATAACCTTTATGTTACTATAGAGTTACTAATGATGTGGAGTATGTGACGTTACCCACCATTTTTTAATTCCTATTAATTTCTGCTTCTTTCCCCTTATAATATAATAAATACTAAAATAACTAGCGCATTTACAAAAAGTATATAGGTTTAACTGATCTTATAGAAAGTTTAAGAATGCACCCTTATTTGTTTTCGTCTGTTCATATCTTTGAATAAAACCTTTTCTTTGTATCAAACCATATAATATCATCCGCAAAACAAATATCTAGCGTTTGTTTAGGCATATACAAATTTACTTGCCCATTAAGGAGTGTTTTAATTAAAGATGACTACCAGTAACAAATTTTCCTCTTTTTTTGCTGAGTATGAAGGTCTGATATAAATCCATCAATTGCATGTAAAACAATTGTATGCTTAAAATAAAAAGTATCTGAGTGAGGAATAGCTAGAGAATGGGTGAGAAAACGTAATGATAGAAAATAAATTTCACTATGCCAAATATGAAAACCAGACTTAATTAGAGACATGAAGACAAAATTGAATGTTTATCTTTTGTCTATAAGAAACTCCACTTAGGGTGAGAATACCTCTTTGGAAGCAAGGTTATATGAAATTAAATGGAAACGTAAGATCTACCCATATAAGTGTTAGAAAATTCCATTACTAGCTCTTTATCACCCTAAAAAATAGGCCGAATACATCTAAGAATGAAATGCTATTTGGGCATAAGACATTATTCTCTAAATCCTTATTCCAGTCACACTATCGGCCTGAGAAGATTTGAGGGAAGTACTTCAATAAAAATCGCGTGCCCTGTGGAATACCAAAATATTTCTAAGGATGTAATTTAAGCAGTTGTATCTTATAAAAGTGAGCAGCAGCAATGTTATCGACGACAAGCGTGGATGAAAAACTAGAATTTACGGAAGTTATACCGATGCAAGTTTTGATGACTCTCGCAAAAGAATCATTTCCAAGTCATCAGTTAAGTATCCGAATAATATGAAATTGTTTAATTCAAAATCTATATAATTTACCCAATAACCATATTTTAAAGAATAGAAAATTTTGAAAAGAAAACAATGCTTTATAAAGTCATTTTACTTAGGGGAAAGCTTTCCTATTAAAGATATAGTCACCCAAGCCAAAGAGGACGAAGGGCTGATATTTGAGCTATTTTTCTGCGAGTATAGGACTTGACCTTACGATATCATTTTATTTAAGCTAGTTTTGCCTGCTAAAAGGTATTCTTGCCCAGAGTGGACTGGAGCTTAAACTATTTATGGCTTCCATCAGTATTCGCAGAGGAAATCGGACCAGGGAAATGTAAACCATATTTTATAGATGCTTCCACCAAGCTATACGGATATAAGTACCAATGGGTCACAGGAAAAACTTAATTTTCAAGTGAAGCCAGGTCTCTTAAATCTTAAAAACGTGGTGAGATTGTTTATAAGGCAAATATTTGCTAGGCCGTTACATTCGAGGCATACACAAGTCACTAGAAACGGCATAGGACGATTGCAGTCCTTATTCAGGGTCGCCGATAAACCCGAAAGCCACTAACTATAAATATAATTATTTCAATACTTTGGCTACATTGCTTACAGAAGCAAACTTAAATCATTTTAAAGTTGTTTGACCTTGTTTTCGCAACTTGGTCATATTGGTAAGAAGACTTAGAGGAACGAACCTAGTCCGGAGTCCATTGTATGCATGATCATTTTCATAGTCGGACCTTCGGGCTGGTATATTCCCGGACGTTTCACCGGTATCATAGTGGCATCGTCAATGAGTCTTGCCAGTCTTAGCACCACAGTACAGCTCGTCACAGAGACAAGTGAAGCCGATCCTTTTATCAAATGTGTGCTAAGCAATTGTGGTATCTCTCCTTCGGCCCTAGGCTATTCCCCTCTCCTATATCCAATAAGACCAATGCGAGATGGAAACTGGAGTCCACCCTGGATGAGAACAACTTTTGGGAAAGTAAGGCAATGTGAAATTCAATGGAAGCTTCAGCTCTACTCATATCATTGTGGGAAAATTCTATTATAAGTCCTTCATCACCTTAAACGAAATTGCGTTAATACATCTCATTTTACTGATTTACTGGTAGTCTCTAAACTCTACTCAAACACGAAAAATAAGTAACAGTCTATTTTTATAACAATTATGCGTTTGCTTCATCGACAATCCCACCAAAGAATATGATATGGCAAAATGCCTGGCCTTCCTTGAAATTAACATTTGCCCTGTGATCCAAGGGCATTCGTAGCAATGTGGTCGAGTGGTTAACGTGTCAAGCTCCCATTCTGCACTGTCACGGTTCGATTCCCGCTGGAGGTGTTGATAAGACCGATGCTAGGTCAAAACTGCAGTCCACTAGTGCAAAGCAATGTGAATTCAGTGGAAACGTCAGCTCTACTCATATTATAGTGGGAAAATTCTAGTACCAGTCTTTCATCACCGTAAACGAAATTTCATATTACTGATTCACAGGTAGTCTCAAAACTCTACTCAAACACGAAAAATTATTTTTTTCCTTGCTTATTTAAATGTACTGTGATGTTCCCTTTTGAGTGACTTTCATGAGAACCCTCCACATTCAACGCTGGCGTTCTCACACCCCTTCACTTTTGTGCTGGGAATGTTGATTAGAGTCTGCAAGTAAAAATTGTGATAATGAAAGCGTAATACAAGGATATATGATTGATGAATATCCCAGGGCAAAAGGAGAGATAGCATACGTTTGGTCAAAGGATCGGCTTCACTTGTCTCTTTGATGAGTTGTAATATGGTATTAAGAATGGCAGAACTCACTGACGATGCCGACTACGATGCTGGCAAAACGTCTGGGAATGTACCACGTACATGGTCCGACTTTGGAATCTATCATGCATGCAGTAGACTCCGGACTAGGTGCGTTCCTCTGAGTCTTCCTACCAATAGGACCAAGTTGCGAAAACAAGGTCAAACAACTTCTAAATAACGAAAGGAGACTGCGACCACACAAAAGGCCACACCATCTAGGTCTTCATATCTTTGATAGTTATATTAATTTTGGCTTATTTCCCTTGGCACAAATAAGGCTGTTTTCTGCCTAATTCATCTAGCATCTTATCTTCAGAACTCTTACGAGTGAACATACAGCTCCACTAATTCATGGATCATGCATTGAAACATCTAATTACCAAAAATCCTTTGATCCCAGTTGGGCCTCTAGGGCCTTCACGTCCGCGTTCTCCCTTGCTTCCAATGGCTCCCTTTTGGCCTTGTGGACCAGGGAGACCCTTTTCGCCTTTCAAAATTCCCTTGTACTCGTTTCGTGTCTCTCCAGGAGGTCCAGATTCTCCCTTTTCTCCTGCTTCTCCAGCATTCCCTGGGTCGCCCTATACAATGAAATAAAAAATAATAAATTGAATAATGCAGTCATATAGAGCTGATGAAGTTTTACTACATAAAATGATATGTTTTTACCTAATGTACAATAGGAGAATCTTAGGATATTTAAGTAACTTCTATCATAAATTCGGCTTGCGAGTGGAAATTTGACAAGCTAACTTATGCCAGAAAGGATAAATTTTAGGACTATTCCCGCAATTCCTTGAATTAGCTCAAACTTGTAGATACCATACTCTCAATTAAATTGGTCGACAATCGGCATAATCTCGTTTTCAGAACTGGGCCGCATTGTAAAGCAGACTTAAATCAACACGTCTCGTCCAGAGCCTATAGCAACCAGGATAATTTAAAGCTTCGGGCCATGGACTTGGTGCATTCCTAGACGTTTAGTTGGCATCATCAGTGGGCCTTACCAGTCTTAGAACAACGCACCAGTTCGTCAATGAGACTCCATATAAGGTGTGTTCCTCTAGGTCTGCTTTATAATACAACTAAGTTGCGAAAACGAGGTCAAACTACTTCTAACGATGAGAGAAGACTGCGACCATATTAAAGGCTTCACCATTTTGGTCTTCCCATCTTCAATTAAAATTTGTTTAATTTGAAGCTTTCCAGTAAAACGAGGCTAGAGTGAAAGCAAATCATTTTGGAATTAACAAATACTCTGAAGTTTAAGAGTCATTAGAATAGCTATCACGAAATTGCCCAGGCGTTCTCCTGATGAGGAAATAAGGTGGATTAACCTTAAGTTTTAGAATGTTTCATTGGATTAAGATTCATTATTTACAAAGAGATTAAGATAAACGCTAATAAGAGGATCACAAATGGCTATTATGTTACTGCATTTTGTATTAGTCAGGCAAATCTAATTAAATCTGCGTAAAATGCTGTTAAGAAAGTCTTTTAACTAGGATGTTGCTAGATAGTTAATGCAAATTTATCAAGGATGTCTTCTCTTGATGATATAGATGAGGATGCCACAAATACTTGTTAAAATTCCTATGGCAGTTTAATTAAATTTAGTATTATTTGACATGTCTGATGATTATTCCAACAAAAATAGTATAGATTTATTTGCTCACACATCATACAGAAAAACAAGAAATAGTAAAAATTTCTGTAGCTGTGTCTCTTGAAGAGAATACAAATATTAATAAGTATTCGTGAAATAATTTCAACTAGTGTAGAATTTT